CTACGAGGAAGTGGGCTCCGAGACTGTGTGGATTAACGAGTGGAGGACGGAGCAAAGAAGGACGAGGAGGAACCTACCTGGGGCGGCAATGAAGGCAAGTCAATCTCATATGTATAGTTATTAATATCCCTTTTAAAGATCTGGTAATAAATCTATAGTACTAAGCTGTATCCAAAACGAACCCACATTATCTTCTCAGAAACTTTGCACGCAAACATCGACGGCTGAGAAGAGTCGTAACAATACTTTAGGCTCAACTTCTAAGATGAAAGACTCGATATCCGCCCTTCAAAAACTGAAAAATTAAGCACCGCGTTGTCAAACATAATAAAACAAAAGATGATCAACACAAATCACACGGAAAATTTACACCCATTTACACGCACACACACCAGTATCCTTGTAGACTCCCCAATGACAAAAATTACTGTGTACATGATACAACAAATATTGGCCATACTGTACACGCGTGTAGGAAAAATAAAGTTGCCAAAACAAAACGTGATAAGAAAGAGATAAGACATTTATACTAATTCAATAAAAGGATACGTAAATACGCCTATATTTCTAGATAGCTAAAATAGAGCGACAGGAAGCTAAGACGAGGTTGAAACTCAGGAAAACCAACACAGCGAATACGATAAGCGTACGACTCACTCGATATAACCCTTCGCATGTCTAACATGTGGGTAAGCTCCCTCTAACATGTGGGTAACTCCTGGTGCATATCCATAGATCGCCCGGCTGTCCTACAGTCTGAGGTTCTGTTTTGCTTGCCCTAGTGAACCAGTGCACCAAGTGTTTCCAAGCCGGTTTATTCTCCGGTTGGATTGGCAGAGAAGTGCTGTTGAAATAGGACGATCTAAGAGACCTAGCAGCATGGAATCGCTGCAGATGGAAGGCTGAGCAGTTGTGGAGGACAATGCTCAAAGGTTTGTTCCTCCTCTTGACAATGTGAACAAGTTGCATCCAGAACTTGTTTGATCCTGGCCAGGTCATCTCGAACAAGAGGGTTGTAGTTGATGTTCCTTGGTGAATTTTGCTAAATATCTGCTTGTGGGATCGCGCGCGCTAGGAGTAGGGGAGAAATGTGTCAGGTTGATGGTTTGTAGTGTTATATATCGGTCTACAGTTGGTGGGCTAATTGTTTGCTGCGTTTTGTCGTCAGCTTCTTTTAAAGCTTCTTTAGAATATGAAGAAGTGTTGGATTGAGAAATCGTTTTGGCGTCCTGGTTCGCACGTTCATTAACCACATTCCTTTGGAGTTCGGTACTCAGCATAGTTGAATGTTCACTCAGTACTGTTCATTACCGTCATTCCAACTGAAGAAAAGTCTGATATAATTCAGCACCGCACTGCATCAGGGTACCCATTATCTTTTATTTTCAAACCTTTTTTTAACCCCTAACCTTCCCCAAAACCCACTCGTATATCTAACCCATTGCGTAATTCCATGCCCCTCCATTTCATTTTCTATATCCATTCCATATCCCATTCCTTTTCCATATATATTTTAGTGCCTCTCCAGATCTAGGTAACAAACTCAGAAACCCAATCACTAAAAACGCACAGTCAGACCCCGTGAACAGGTCTAATGTCATCTACTCAGTCTCGTGTTTAGAACGTAACACAACCTATGTTGGGAAGACGACTTTATATAGGTACGACTGAACATCAGAAATGTGTCGGAAGCTAAGACAGCCGTTCACTAATATACCAACATACACATATGACCGGTCACTCTTTCAACTTGAATCAAGCAATAGCCCATTACAGCAATATTAAAAAATAGGCCATAAAGATTAATCCTGGAAGCCTTTATCATACAAAATTTAATAGTAATTTTAATTGATTTTAATAAATTTAAAAGATGGAAAACAGTAACTGCCAATTAGTATATACAAATTTTTCTATGAGAAGTCATCAAAAGCTTGAAATAAAGGAGACCAAAGACTGGAACCAGAGGAATCCTTCTCCATTATGACAATGCCACAGACCACAAAGCTTCAAAAACAACGATTTTTTTTTAAGAATTCAGTTACGTGGCCACCCACCATATAACCCTGATCATGCTCTCTGTGTAACTTTCATTTGTTTCCAAAAGTTAAAGAAAGCTTGCGTGGAATCAAATTTACAATTCCTGATGCTGCGGTGGAACCGCTACCTGGAGGTACTTGAAAACATGAGCCCAAATAAGTGGGAAAAAATATTTATCCTGGGTTCAAAGGATTGAAAATTTTATTGAGTGTAAAGGTGATTATTTTAAGAAAAATAAACGGTTTAATCAGTTATATTTTTATCGTATTGAAAAACTTTCAGAGTAACCCTCTTATTTATAAATCATTTATTTTCTACATATGTAGCAGCAAATACACGGGAAAGAATTGACTAAAATAGGTATGAAAAGAGAGACTGAATTTTTTAAAGTTGGACTTTGTCTCAAATATGAGCAAGGTTCCATTGTTAAATGTGAATAAATAGAGGACGAGATTTTTATTTCTTTTGATATATTTCCTGATATATATTAGGCGGATTTTTCACCCGGATTAATGCTATTTTCTAGATGGCAGCTCAATAAGAAATTGGGAGAGAAGGTGACCATTGAGGAAATCGTTACCTGGCAATTAAGAAAATTATATAAATGAAGATAATTATCAAAAGAGAGCCAGCAGACGAAGTGTATAGAAGCCGACTCTGGACATATTCCAGAGAGAGGTTGGTTGCTGATAAAACGAAGAAACTCATCAAGGAGGCCATGAAACAATGTAGCCCTCTGTGGTCGGAATCAAACATCAAGAAAGAAATCTCGACGCTACCTGGCTCTCCAAAAGTAGGTCGTTGAGAAAATGGAGAGGAAATTAAGAAAATGTAGCTCTGAGTGGACAACTCTCGAAATCAAAACTAAGAAATTAAATTCCACAAAGGATGGTAACGCTTTAAGAGATTAACTAATATAAAATCATGTGTGTGGACAAAACTCAAGGAATTTGTACCTTTTATCATATATATCGGGATTCAGACAATAACTCTAAAGATATTTGACACACCTTTGTTGAAGACATACAAAATAACAAACTATGAACAAAAATGTCTCTTTTTTTTCTTAAGTTGTGTCTATGAGTGGATTTTATCGGATCATTTAAATGACAATTATTAATATAATAAAGGACATTTAAATAACACTATTTTATTGTAATATAACACATAACATTTGCTGGAGGCGTCTCCTTAATCTGAATGCCATAATATTCCATCTTTCTTAACTTCAGGTTAAAGAGACTTTTCCGAAAGCTCATGTTTTGTGTTCGTTTACAGTAAAAGAATTAGCGCTAACGTAATTTACATGGCCTTTACAATATATTTTAATTTGAGCTTACTCATATATAAAACACTTACTATTGTATTATTTTCCCAAACATTACTTGCATTTATGATTTTTTATGATTTATTTTTTTATTTATCAATTGCAGAGTACACGCTATATCCACAATTCGGATATTTGCGCGTGAAATATAAACATTTAAATGAAAGACACAAAAGAAAAGTAGTTAAGGAGATATATACATATTTACATATCAGTATGCAAATTGATTACATTAGTAATCACTTATCCAGCCAAATACATTCTGCAAAATTTGTTGAATCTTTGGTATATGTCCTTAGTGGAGACCAGATGTTGCAAATTTATGGGGAGTTGATTTAGTTCCCTAAGATCAGCGGTCAGCGGGCAGTCAGTTAATAAGTGTCTAGGGTTCTGTTCTTCGCCTCCACACGAGCATCCAGGTGATTCAGCTTTGCCAATTTTAAACAAGTATGAGTTGAAGTCGCCATGTCCAGTGAGGAATTGCACATTATAGAAGTTAGGTTTAATAAAATTAGGAATTTTTGGGCCACTGAAGAAACTTTTGAAATTTTCATTGGTCGCTTCGTAATATTCCTGCTGTTTCTGGTTTATAAAGTTAGAAATTATGATTATTTTTGCTGGGACAAATCGGTTGTAATCTATATTTATTTTCAATATATTTGATTCAATGAAGTGAGTGAGCTTTGGAGTTCTAGCAATGATATGCGTACAATTTGACGATGTTGTATTATATGCTTGTATACCATGTTTGAGAATTTTATACTGTAGCGAGTTTAATTTGTCTTTGGCTTTTTTTGGGATGAATTGGTACCATATCGTAGATCCGTATATTATTGTATTTCTGAATAGTGTTTTGTACAGTACAATTCTCCTTTTGCTGTCAAGACCCCAGGCCTTCTTTGTTAATCCTAATAGATATCCACTTGCTCTGGTTGTTTTCGTGATAATATCATCAATGTGCGGCATAAAATCAAGTTTGTTCTTATTTCTGTGGTTTTTGACGGTTATTCCCAAAATTTTTACCCTATCTACCGGAATAATGGTATTGTTATTCAAAGTTATTGTAAACTTTTTATTATTGAACAAAGGCAATACCTTCGTTTTCTCCTTGGATATTCTTAATTTGCTGCTTTCACACCAATTTGTTATTTTTCTCATTATGCTTCCTATTGTATTTTCAAGTTCTATTAGGTTTTTATTCCAACATATCACCGTAATATCATCTGCGTATCCGATGATTTCACTATTCGGCTCAGTATACTTGCATAGTAAATCGTTCATGATTATATTCCATATTGTAGGGGAAATAGGTCCTCCCTGCGGGCATCCTTTGCTTAGTGTTTTTTGAACTTCAATTGATGTGTATCTGTATCTTATTTTCCTATTATCAAAATATGACTTGAACAGTTTAACAAAAGATGCATTTACATTATCTTCATCGATTCTTTTTAGCACCATTGGCCACCATGCATTATCAAATGCTCCACTGATGTCGATTGTTATAATGGCCGTAAATTCCTTAGCTTTGTGGTCTAAAGCAGTTTTGACAATGTCAGTTAGCGCTGTTATTGTTGATCGTGATTATTGCATGTATGATGATTGCACAGAATTTCTCTAGTTACTAAGACTGTGAAAAAAGCTCCAACCAGATTTGAGATTGGGTGGTTAGATTCCTAGTCTGACATGCTAACTACTACACCATGGAGCCAAGTAGAGAACATTCCAAGTAGATAGTTTAACTTCCACTCAAAAAAAGTCACTCACGCAAAATTTTATTATATATATATATATATATATGTAGTAATCCCGAGGTGGAATGTGCTGGGCAGTCGTGGTAGTGGGTGAGTGATGGGATTCCCGCACTGGGACAGCAAGAGACAGAGGCAGGTCTAGGTGGTAACTCCAAGGAGGTAGAGGTAGACCACGGACGAAGGTAGTCGGACCATGGACGTCACGGATGCCCTAAGTCTACATCGCGGATTGGGGTGAGAAGTCTGACTGACCGTATAACAGCGTCGCTCTGAAACAACTGAAACACAACTCTCTTTTGTCCCATTTCTGGGCTCCTTATATACTCAGACTCTGGCATGTGGTGGCGCGTTTTGATTGGCCCCCAGAAAACACGCCACCTGTCAAGCGTTGATTAATTATTACGTCTGGCCACCTGTTGACGGGGTAATCGAACTCATTATCATAAACACGTGTTCGTCTGGTCTTTGTCGTCTGGACTACCTCTACTCCTTTTGTTTTATTTGTCACTTCTATTATTCGATACATATTTTTATATACAGATATGGGGTTATAACAAATATTAGAATAAGGCTGTGAACTATATTACTCAAAATATACTACAGAATGTGTCCCCGGTGATGAAGGTTTGGTTGGGGGAATGACATGTAATGAATGATAACCTAACAAACCTATTATAAAAAATAAAAGAAATAATTTGTGTACAAATTAGTTAAAATTATTATTAAGCTATAAATTAAAAAGAGAAAGATGCTGTAATGGTGGTGTATCAATAAAAACGTACAAAATGAATGATAAAAGATTAAGAGAAGGTATATAATACAAAATGGTAACTATGGTAAAATGAATCGTACAAGGAAAATAATATCTTATTTTTTGCATAAAAGATGAGAGGAAAAAAAATTTAAGTTAGTTTATTAACTGAACGTATAATGTGACGCTAAGGTTGAAAAAGGGAAAGGGGGTATCTGAGCATGTTTCTGCAAAAGTAGTATCCCAAGCATCCTGCAATGCAATGCGAACTTGTTTAAGTGAGGCATTGTTTTCATTAACAGAAGGCCTAAGATAATCCGTCTGCATCATTAGCTCAGACAGTGAGAAGAGGTGGGAAGATTGATGGAGGTAATAGGGGGAGGTAGAGGTAAGAGGGATCCCTGTTGTCCATAATGATTGTGCCCGGTTGAGTTGTGAAAAAAAACTGAAAAGTTGAAAAAATGATGAATTGATATGATGCGTCGGGCGATGAGAAAAAAATATAAAAGTATCGCGCTGGATATCCTGAACTCATTATCGGGAATGGTATAGTGAGGAAGGAGTGTTCCAGTCGGATTAATCAATGAAAAAAAAAACAAAAATGGTCGGCGAACTGGAATCCCTTGGAAGGTTGGAGGTTTGAAGGATGCGGAAAAGGGGAGGTGGGTGTAAGAGAATTATTGCTGTCAATTTTGATTGTGTCCGGCTTGTGTGGTGAAAAAAAAGTTGAAAGATGAAAAAATGATGAGCCGGACGATGAGAGAAAAAAAATAAAATTCTAACTGGGTCTCCTGAGCTCACTGTTGGGAAATGTACAGCGAGGAAGGGTCTTCTAGTTAGTTAATCAACACAAAAAAAGAAAATAGTTGACGAACAATAATCTCTTGATGGCTGTAAAAAGTTGGGAGGAAAGGTTCATGGGATAGAGTTAGAGGTTGTAAGGGAAGCGTCAAAAATAACATTTTGAAATCTACAAAGAAAAATAAAATGATAAATGTTTTATCTGTTAAAGAAATATTTAAAAAATTGTTAGGTGTAGGTTTTTTAAAAGGTGCCTAAGATAGTTGAAGTTGTAAATTGCTAAGTCTGAACATGATGAGAAAAAGAGAAAATAAAAATATTAAAGGTAATAATATATAAAGCGTTGATTGGTAGTTTAAGGCATTAATGTTGATTAATAAACAAAATGATATTATCGATTAATAGTGAAGTGTTTTATCTACATTGGTAAGTTAAAAAAAAACAAAGTCCAATACCACAAAACTAGTAAAACTATAAGTCTATTTACAAATAAATGAGAGAAAAGCTAGCAAACCTAATAAATGGGAAATAATTTGGGGCACAAAAATTTTAGTTACTAGAATAAAATAAAGATAAAGGGGAGTAGTGGTGACACATTGATATAATATTATAAAACTACAAAAATATATAAGAGGGAGTACATAGGAAGGATAAATTTAAAGTAAACACACACAATAGCGAAAGTAAATATTTGGGAAAGTTGGTATACTATTTACAGTTTTTTGTTACTTAAGGTGTCTTGAATATTTACAACATAGTTTCAGGGATGTAATACAGGAAGGAGGAGAAGTAGAGATAATAAAAGTAAAATAAAATATAAAAGAAAATTGACTTAAGCAAAAGGTTTGCGATAGGTAGTGACGCAGTGAGGAATAAAGGAAGAAGGTCTGAATTGGTTTCTGCAAAGGACATCTCAGGAATCCTGACCTGCAATACGAGCTTAGAGCGAGGTATTGTTTTCAGTGTTCAGCAATCCCAAGATGCTCTGTAAGTAGCATTAGATCAGATGGGCAAAAGGCGTGAAGATCGAAGGAGAGGTAGGTAATGGGAGAATATGGGAAAGAAATCTTTTCTGAGAGAGGTTAAAAAGAGATGGTGTCTCAAGAGTTGCGCTGCTGTCGGTGATTGAGCTCGACCAGATGAAAAATAAAATTAAATGAAAAATGAGTGGGCGCATCGTTCTGTGATGGCCTGGGTCGAGCATTAGAGAAAAAAATATCTCGCTGGTTACCCAAGCTCTCCGTGTGGAGTTAACATGGGGAGGAAGAGTGTACCAGGTCGATGGATCATTAAAAAATAAAAATTAAAAAATGTTGACGAGCAGGAGTCTCAGGAACCGTTGAAGAGGTTAGAGGATGGAGGTAGATTGTGAAAACAGGGCTCGACTGTTGCCATTGATTGATTGAACCCGGGTTTGAGGAAAAAAAAATGAAATAAAGAATGCTGGGACGGTGACCTGGGTGTAAATAAAAAAGTCGGCAAACAGGAACTCTGCGATGGACGAGGGGTGGTTAGAACGAAGGCATAGGAGGCCAATGGAAAATGATCAAGAGACGAGAGAAGTATGGAAGGCCTATAATTGATTGATTGTCAGGCAAGAGTGTTGAAGTAGGGCTATCTCTGCTAATGGTGAGTACAAGGTCATTCCAACCCTTTAGAAGTAGGTAAGGGAAGACGAAGTATAAAAAAAACAATTAGGGGGAGATCAGTGCGACCTTGAATTTGTTGTCGCGCGCGTTGGGATGAAGTCTGGAATTAATTGTCCTTTTCTCTTTGTCGTGCCTGTCATTTGTACGTGGTACTGATATTTCTCTACTTTCTATTATACTGGGATTTATATTATTACATAACTCGGGGAATTTTCAATTTTTGGATGTTATAGTATGGGGCGTGTCTTTATATTTATTAGTAACTATCTTGATTAACTTCGTCCACGAGGTTCTGGGATTCTCTAGGTGAAAATAACCATAGTTTCTCAGTAAGTTTTGCGTCAAGATGTTCAGACAAACGTTAGATTGGAGATTATTAGCGGTGATTAGGTTTAGAAAAATTATAAAATAATGAATTTACGAAATTTTTTAAGAGAAAAGATTATGGCATGGGTACAAAATTCGGTAGTTTTTGTAATTAACAATTTAACACAGGTAGGGATGAAATGCGATGGGGTATGGAAATTTTATGGTATGATATTTAGTTTTCGCATACTACATTTATGGTTGCATTTGTAATTGTGGGAAAAATGGGAGTCACATTTTGAGATGAGATAATTTAAAATTGATATTTATAAAAATACAAATCTAGGACTAGTTTTTAAAACTTTTAAATATTGAGAAATATCAATTTGAATAGTAATAGGTCAATTAAAATAAAGAGTGTAATAAATTTAATTATTAATATTATGGCTATAACTAAGGTATTAAAAAAAACACACAAATAATTTTAGAAAATATGATTCGAAGAATTAAAATATAATATGATTTTTTATGTAAAATTGAAATTAATGAATTAAAATTTAAAAGTTGCTTAAAATAAAGTAAAAATTGATAAATGAGGGTGTACAAGATTTAAAATTTGAATTGAAATGCTATAAAAATGGTAAAATAATGAACTTGATGGATTTATAATAATAATGTTATTGCTATTAAAATGGTATCGAATAATTAATTCAGAGCAAACGGAGATAGTGTTACATTAAATAGTTCTGTAGAGAAAATTCTCCTACCAGATGGATGTCTTGAATGGGTCTTGTGGAGGGGGCTGCGATGAGGCTTGGTGATCTTTTTTGCGGTGGTTGCCATGGGACATCGTCGATGCTGGTTGGCGGGGCAATGTCAGGATTTCTCGATGAATCTCGTCTGCCTGTTCGAGCCGATGGGGGGACATGTTCGCGGCGCAGGAGATGTTGATGGGGGCGATGATGACCTGCTCGCTGCGAGGTGCAGCTAGTCCTCGCATGGAGTCTTTTAGGTGGCTTACACGGTCTTCGCAGTGGGGCTGCATGTTGGTGAGGGCATCCGCGACGTATGCGTCTTCGGCCTCCGTCATCCTCTGCATGTCGTTGTCCTCAGTCATCCTGTCGACTTTAACGGGTTCTGTAGTAATCCCGAGGTGGAATGTGCTGGGCAGTCGTGGTAGTGGGTGAGTGATGGGATTCCCGCACTGGGACAGCAAGAGACAGAGGCAGGTCTAGGTGGTAACTCCAAGGAGGTAGAGGTAGACCACGGACGAAGGTAGTCGGACCATGGACGTCACGGATGCCCTAAGTCTACATCGCGGATTGGGGTGAGAAGTCTGACTGACCGTATAACAGCGTCGCTCTGAAACAACTGAAACACAACTCTCTTTTGTCCCATTTCTGGGCTCCTTATATACTCAGACTCTGGCATGTGGTGGCGCGTTTTGATT